ATATAGAAAGCCTTACCCGCCGCTATCTTCTTCATCGTGTCGATCTCTTGGAGGGCCTTCTGGGCCTCGGCCTTGGCACGCTTCGCGCTCTCAAGGGCCACGGCAAGCTCAGACTCTCGCGTCTTCGAGTCAAGCTCCAATGCCTCGTGCTTCGTCACGAGAGCCTGGAGCTCTTGCTGCCCTCGCCCACCCGAGCCTCGTGCTTCTCTCGCTCGGTGCGCTCCTTGTCCGCTTTATCTTCGGCCTTGGCGAGCGCTTGCTTCAGGGTCGCCACCTCGGTTGTGGCCCCAGGCAAACATACGATTATCCTGTCATTTTGCAATCGCGTCGTCTTTTATATATATACATAAGACAGGGTATTACTTACCCTTGTTTTCCTCGAGCTGCCTCTTGGCAAGGCCGAGCTCTTTCCTGGACCCCTCGAGGGCCTGCTTCAGTACGGCGACCTCCGCAGTCAGTGCGGCGGACGCCAGTAGCGAAGCCTACATATGCATATTGACATACTTATATTAGACTCCTGCGATATTATTTGATCCTCTGTTTGGCTTTTCTTTGTGAACACCAAACAAAGCATCAGGGGCTACTGTCTATGCGGTAATATTTCTACTACATTTTAAAATACTTACCTTGAAGCCTGTTAGAAGGCTGGCACAGGCTTCAGTCAATCCGCTCTTGGCGGACTGAACCTTCTGGATCACCGCACTCATGATAGTGCGGTGCTCCTCGTCGATGGAAGCGCTGCGAAGTGCTTCCAGCAGATTGTCCGGTGCCTCTGGATGGACAGAGGTTACCGGCACAGGCGTCTTGCCCCTCTTAGAAGGAGGCTGCCTGCCCGAGCCCAGAACCACTGGAGGGTCCGGCACGGTGTTTGGCTGAGGGCCGAACTCGGAGCTCTCGGGGGCCCCGTCCCCTCGGCTCCCAGAGTCCGGAAGGTGCCTTGAGGCGCCTCCAGGACTATCTCCCCTCGATCTGGTGCCTCTTGAGACAACACCTCGGCGTCGTTGGCGGGATGAGGGGAGGTGGCGATCGGGACCGGATCGCTATCCATGTCCGATGAGCCCAGGGAGCCGTCCGATGATACCTCGATATTGGCTCGTGGCGGCCTGCATAATCATGTTCGGTGATTAAGGAAAGCAGTGCGACAAAGTAATCCTATGAGTTACTCTGGTATCCAAATACTTACGATCTCCCCGAGGGCTTGACCCTGGGCAACCACTCGTCTTCGCCTTCATCGACGGCGGTGGAACTATCCGGAAGGAGAGTCCTTCCCTTCTTGGACCCCCCCGGCCTCCCCAGTAGGGGCGGCCTTCCTTTTCTTGTCTCCCCCAGTCTGTGGGGGAGCATCATCTTCTTCTTCCTCATCTTCGGGGGAGGAGTGTGCCGCAGAGTTATCGGACGATGAGTCCGATAATACCTGGCGCCGGGAATGCTTTTGGGTTCCCTTGGCATTCTTGGTCTTCTCCGGCACCTTGTAAGGAGCCGGAGTCAGCATCTCCGTCAGGAGAGCGCTCGCAGTGTCTTCGGGCAAAGGGGTCGGACAGTTAATCTGCCCCGACATCTCCACCCAGTCCTATCAAAGGCAGGGAGTTTAGACCCCGCACATAATTAAGCTGGAGAAAATAAATGACCTATGAGACATATCGAACTCACCGGACGCGCTAGGCGCTTTGCGCTTAGTCCTCGGTCCTCGGCGAGAGAAGGGGGGACCTCGGCGCCCTTGAACAGCACCTTCCAGGCGTCCTTGTGCGTCATGTCGAAGAGCTCGCTCAAAGTCTGGTGCTGGGCCGAGTCGAACTCCCACAAGGTAAAATCCCGTTGTTGACACGGGAGGGTCCAGCGGATGAGCATAACTTGGATTATGTTGACAAGCCTGAGCTTCTTGCTCGCCATGCTCCGGATACATTTCTGGAGTCCATCCAGCTCCACCGATGAACCCCACGACAAGCCCTTCTCTTTCCAGGAAGTGAGCCGTGTTGGGAATCCGGATCGAAACTCAGGGGGTGCCGCCCATTTGGCGTCGTGCGGCTCAGTGATGTAGAACCACGCCGATTGCCATCCCTTTATTGTCTCCACGAAGGAGCCTTCGAGCCATATGACGTTGGGCATTTTGCCTACCATGGCTCTGCCGCATTCTGCTTGTTGGCCTCGTACTACCTTCGGCTTGATATTGAAGGTCTTTAACCACAGGTTGAAGTGGGGCCGGATGCGGAGGAAAGCCTCACACACGATGATGAACGCCGAAATGTTGAGGATGAAGTTCGGGGCCAGATCATGAAAGTCCAGCCCGTAGTAAAACATGAGACCACGGACGAATGGATGGAGGGGAAACCCTAGTCCACGGAGGAAGTGGTGAAGGAAAACTACCCTCTCGTAAGGTTTCGGGGTAGGGACGATCTGCCCCGCAACGGGCAGCCGATGCGCGATGTTCGCGGCTAAGTATCCGGCTCCGCGTAGTTTTTTGATGTCTCCCTCCGTGACGGAGGAGACCATCCACTTGCCTCCTGCTCCGGACATGGTTGGAGAAGGTTGAGGTGGAAGTATGAACTTGGGCGCTAGAGCTCAAGTGTGCGAAAACGATGAGCAAAGGAGGAAGAAGGCGTGGATAGAAAAGTGAATCCTTATCCCTTTATATGAGCGGACGAAACTAAGCGTCCCCACTTGCCTGGTAAAACTCGCTTATCCCCCAAGCGCCGCAATTGATGGTGCGGTTGGGTTACGCACGCCCGTATTGATGAGAATCTTGTAATAAGGGGACACGATCTCTGCTTTGACAAGACGTGTCGAAAAACTGCCTCGCGTTATGTGCGGGGCTGGTTAAAAGAAACGGTTTGAATAATCACCGGGCCATGACATAACGTCATGCTGCGAAAACAAGCCAGCAAATTAGATCTGCGAAAATATTATTCTCTCTACGGTGGAATGTGGAACTTATTTTGCAGGGTCAGACACTATCCTCGTATTCAAATTCCTCTGTGATGTATTCGGAGAAGGAACCCGCCTTGCAATGCCGAAGACAATACTACGCGCCAGACTCATCGTCATTGAAACCTGGTTCAGGGGCTACTGAGGGAGTCCTGGATTGGGGGGTCTCCGGACAGCCGGACTATCTCCATTGGCCGGACTATTAGACTATGAAGATACAAGATTGAAGACTTCATCTCGTGTCCGGATGGGACTCTATTTGGCGTGGAAGGCAAGCTAGGCAATACGGATATGGATATCTCCTCCTTTGTAACCGACCTTGTGTAACCCTAACCCTCTCCGGTGTCTATATAAACCGAAGGGTTTTAGTCCGTAGAACAACAATCATACCATCGGCTAGCTTTTAGGGTTTAGCCTCTCTGATCTCGTGGTAGATCTACTCTTGTACTACCCATATCATCAATATTAATCAAGCAGGACGTAGGGTTTTACCTCCATCAAGAGGGCCCGAACCTGGGTAAAACTTCATGTCCCCTGCCTCCTATTACCATCCGGTCTGGACGCACAGTTCGGGACCCCCTACCCGAGATCCGCCGGTTTTGACACCGATAGGAGTCCTGAATTAGGGGTCCTCGAAGGATCGGGCTATGTGACATGGGCCGAACTGATGGGCCATGAAGATACAAGATAGAAGGCTCTCCCCCGTGTCCGGATAGGACTCTCCGTTGCGTGGATAGCAAGCTTGGCGGCTAGATGTGTAGTTTCCTTTCTCTGTAAATCGACTTTGTACAACTCCCCCTCCGGTGTCTATATAAACCGGAGGGGTTAGTCCGTAGAGGCTATCACAAATCATACAGGCTAGACATCTAGGGTTTAGCCATTACGATCTCGAGGTAGATCAACTCTTGTAACCCCTATACTCATCAAAGTCATCAAGCAGGAAGTAGGGTATTACCTCCATCAAGAGGGCCCGAACCTGGGTAAAACATCGTGTCCCCTGCCTCATGTTACATTCGATTCTCAAACGCACAGTTCGGGACCCCCTACCCGAGATCGGCCGGTTTTAACACCGACAGTAATGCTCCTCAGTGACAACATCACAAACATGTCGGTGGTGAATCCCTCTATCAAGATTGACGGTAAGGATTTCATGTGAAGATAACACAAACCTCTACCTCTGACGTTGGTGTCACATCTAGTTACGAACGGTTGCATTGAGTTTGGTGATGATATTACTTATTTGCAAATGCTCGTGTTTGCTTGAGGGTAATTTTGTTTCCAACACATTATTATCATGCCTAAAGGCATAATGAGATCATATGCAAAAAATGATTATTTTTCATACAAGGGATTTTCTCCCCCAATCATATATTCGTATATAAAGAAACCATGAGTAGATTACATCCAAATCACACCAACCACCTAGTAGCATATGAAAAGAAAAAAATGTCTTTTTTTCTCTTGGATTTTCATTTATTATTCATGTTTTCTTGACTTTTTCGTAGCCGTACAAAATACTAGAGGTGCCTTATATAGATGTGTACTCTGTTTGTTCACAAGTTTGCTAATTGTTTTGGTGGGTTTTGGAGCCTTGGAGCAAACAAATACACCTAGTGTGTAAAACTAAGTTTTGCCCAAACTCGAGTTTAGAGCAATGGGATTGCTAAATCTCAGTTGACCGAGACTCTTTTATTTTGTTGCGAGGAGGACAGTTGACTGAGACCCAAAGTCTCGGTCGATGCTATATCCGTGGGATGTCACATAGAGATCCATGCAAAGTTTTCATTTCAATTTTTTCTTTCTTACTTTTTATATGTTTCATCACTTGACTAAGACTTGGTTAAATCTCAATTGCCTAGGATCTAGCCACACCATTAGAGCAAAGGAAGCAATGAAGATGTGATGAAGTTTGAGACGATCCTTTGTCGAATCGCGCATGACAGTTATCACTGCTTACCAGCAAAGCCACACTGACTTCAGTAGTATTCCATTGCAAGCACCGCACAAGCTACGTAGTATTACATCGTAGTTGCAGTCGCAGCACAGCACACGCACTCGTCACTCTCACCGTTTCCATCCTAGCTAGACAAATCTTTCACATTTTCCCACTCCGACCACTCTCCTCTTTCTTCCACGGCGGCGCGCGCGCGGGCCGGCCGGCCGGGAGCGAGCGCCATGGGCGGGCGGCGGTGGCGGCGCCGGCAGGCAACCAAAACCCCCTACTACTAGTGCCGGCGCCGCGCTAACTAAAAGCCAAGCAACAGATGCCCCGGAACAAATAAATAAATCGGGAACCCAAAGCTAGTTAATTAGAAGATCAGCGCCGCCGGTGGATCGGCGGACGGACGGACGATGTCGGCGTCGGCGTCGGCTCAGGGCGACTCCGAGGAGGAGTTGGTGGACACGGTGATGAGCGTGGACGCCGAGGAGGACGACGTCCTGGGCGTCGCCGACGGCTTGATGAGCACCACGGGCGTCTTGCTGTCCATCCTCCGGTGCTGCTCCCGCACCAGCTGCTCCGCCACGCCGTCCAGCCGCTCGCCGTTGGTCTGCGGCATCAGCTTCTTGCCCCGGAACAGGACCGACTCCACCCCCCGCTCCGCCATGGCCGCCTCCGCCGTCGCTCCGGCGGTAATGCCGTTGCCCTGAGGACAGAACACAATTGGCACAGTCAGCTTCCGTTGACTCACTTTCACAGTGGTGGTAAGAATAATTCAGCAGCCGTGAAGAAAATTACAGCACAAGATATGTAAATTATTTACCTGGATGCGGATGTAGTTGGTTGCTCTGCTCTCTCCGAACGCCATTGATACGGCTTGGTCCACCTGAAAAGCACAGTCCTGTTTAGCCCCGCGTACGTGACGATGGTACGATTCTGTCCGTGCAATGAATGCTCAAGAATCAATCGGGGCGTACCATGTCGGCCTGGCACGCGCCGGCGATGCGCAGGAGGCTGGAGGACGACGCGCGGGCGCCCGACCCGGCGGCGGCGTTCCCGCCGAGGGACAACACGACGAGGTCGCCGGCGCCGGCGGCGAAGGGGAACTCGCGCTTGTTGTGGAGCACGTGGGTGACGGCCACGGCGGTCGGGTTCGCCACGCCGGCGCCGGTCCCGCCGGCGGCCGCGGCGGCGCGCAGCCTGGTGCGCCCGTCGAGGGACGCCACCTCGGCCGGCCCCACGCCGCACGCGGCCGCGCAGACCTGCCAGAGCGGGAAGTCGAACGCCTCGGCCTCCACGGCGTCGGCGCGGGAGAAGACGAACGGCGCGGCCGTGGCCATGTCGTAGCAGGGGATCAGCAGCGGCTTGGCGGCGTCGCGCACGGTGAGGTCGCCGAACACCTTCCTGAACACGGCCTCGGGCCGGGAGAACAGGCCGCCGCGCCCGTGGCGCCCGGAGAAGACCTTGCGGTTCTTGGCCACGACGTCGCGCGCCGCCTCCGCCGGCATCCGGCGCGCGAACAGCGCGGCCGCGAGGAACCCGCCGGCGCCGGACCCGGCCGCCACGTCGAAGTAGTCGGCGACGCGCGCCTCGGGGTTGCCCGACAGCTCCTGCAGCCGGCGCTCGAGCCTGACAAGCGCGGCCGCGGCGAGCGCGCCGCCGTCCGCGCCGCCGTCGATGGAGAGCACGCGCACGCGGCCCGCGGAGCACGCCCCGGCCGGCTCCAGCGCCTGCGCGCCGAACAGGAAGTTGGACTCCAGGATGGAGAAGATCTCCTTGCTGAGCCGGTCCGAGCCGCCGCCGACGCCGACGCCGAACGGCAGGGTCTGATCAAGCAGCGCGATCGCGGGAGTCGCCATTCGCAAACGGGATTGCTCTTGGTTTTCGGTCTCGGAGGCCGGAGATAATTGGCTTCACCGTCGTGTGTCGTGACTGGGAAGGCGAGGCTTGGAGGCCGGGAGTGACAGAGCAAGAGTGTGTGTGCGTGTGTGTGTGGCGGTCTTGGCGCCTGCCGGGGAGAATTTATAGTGGTGGCGCGCGCTCTGCTTCCGTTAGCGGCTTCGCGCCACGGCGCAGCGTTCACCGCGCGCGAGTGCAGCCGTGGCCGCGTGTCCCGTGTCGTTTTGCCTCGACAGATGGCTACGTCCGCCCGTGCGTGCGTGCGTCCACAGGTTGGTCAGCGATTTTTCTCTTCCCGTCCTATATTTTCCCACTTTTACTACCAAAAAAAAGCTCACTAATGTGGAGCTCAACTAGTCTAAAAATCGAATGGTCCCTGGTGTGGTGAGCGGACTCTGAATAACCAGAGACCAATGTATGTGTCTTGCCGTCTTGGTGAGACTTTTTCTTGTGTTTTTCGCTTTGGGCGAGGCTTAAAGGTGAAGAAGAATGTTCGCGGCGCCTTTACCAGAACGATCGATCCCTAGTTCCGGTCCAAAGTTGCGTGCCTCGAACTAGCAACCCACACGCGCACGTATCTCCTCAAGACAAGTATAGACAGACGAGAAGAATAGCTCCTTTCGCCATCACAGACCAGAGCACCCAACGAATTCCCGCATTTTTCAAAGCAGCTGTGGTACCCGCCTAGGGACTCGGCGAGCCATGCGCCACCCGGACGCGCCACCCGTGCGCCCGACGTCCCTGCTCATCCGGCTCCACGCCTTGATCACCACTCGCGCCATTCGCCCCATGCACACTATTCATCCATTCATCATCTACCCCATAAACAAATGATGCGTTTGATTGTCCATGAGCAGAGCTTAGGCCTCACTCAACCCATCATCATCATCTTAACTACCAACCGCCGCGACGACGACGTACTACGGGCTCGCCAATCATCAGTGGCGGAGCTAGATGCAGACTACGCCTGGGACCGTGCTATGTTGAGTGATAATTTTTATGATTTTTTATGCTTTGCATAAAGAAATTACAAAGAAAGTTGTTTTTAGGCATGGGGCTATAGCCCTAGCTGCCCCAGGCCTGTCCCCGTCACTGCCAATCATCACACATCCCGCCTATCATCTCGACGCCGGCGCTCCATCCGTCCGTCCGCGCGTCCATACAAATCCGAACATCAATCCAAGAAAATCAATCAGCCCCATGATTGGTTCGCGGCCACGTCTCATCATCCGCACCGGAACCAGGCAAGGCAGCGGCGAGTGCTCCCACCCGCTCGGCCCGCACCACCATCCGTCCGGCCGGCCGGCGGTGGTGCGCTGGTCGGTCGACTGCTGCATCATGGACTCGATCACTCGATCGTGGTTAGCCGAGCAAAGGTTCCGTGTGCGCGCTACTGGCCCAACACGATCCCAATACGCTTCCTACGGGCTAATGATATGTCCCAAATCATTGCGAGCTCGCTCGTCCTCTTGGGAGAATAAAACAATTCCATTCATGCATCTTGTGCGTATATGTGTTGCTTGCGCTTTGCCCCGGGGATGATTAGGTTGGTGCCTGTCGCGTACGGACTCCGCCTTTACGATTGCGTGGAGGCACTGGCTGACTGAGGCTAGCTAGGTTAGGGCGATCGAGCGAGCGGGTTAGTTAATTAAGTAACTATTAAACATGTTGGAGAGAGCTCTTCTTAATAAAGAAAAGCTAAAGGAGGAAAAGACCCTCCCTTGTCATGCAAGTGTCCCCTTGTGTAAGGTAGGCACCGGACAGGGTCCGATTTTAAAACAGAAGATCGGCTGGATGCTCCTCCGCCTTTCTCCCGGGCACGGCACGCTTCTTTCGGGGTCGCCGGAGGACGGGCGGAGATATTGCAAGCATGTATTCTTCCTAACCATCATTGTCCCCCCTAGATAATACTAGTGGTACTTAATCACGAGACCTATATAACCTCGTTCTAATCTAGTTTACTCCACGACTTGATAACTCCCTTCTTGGTGGAGTACTATATGCTTCGAGGAGGAGGGCGACATGAGTGTGCGCGTACGAACGAGGCTCACGAACCATCGAGCAGTAGCGAGGATAGATTATTATAAACATAAACATTTGATTGGTGAGGTGAATTAAGCTGCATTTCATGGCCAGCTGCATGCAGGGCACCGTCACGCGCCCGTCCGTCCGTCCATATCACCATGCATGGACCGCTAATTAACAAATTGTAACAACTGTCAGACATCCGATGGCAATGGACGTCGATCGATCGATAGCAGAAAAGAGGAAAAATTCAGAGAAAACTCCACTATCGTACAGCAGCACACTGGTGCACGGACGACGTCGACGCCGACGCGCGGCGCGTCCGTTGAGCCATCGCCCGTGCACACTTGTTCGCCCGAAAGCAACGTCGCGGCGACTCTAATCCGATCCTCGTCGGTTCGCGTGCATGCCTCGTCTGCGGCCTGTCTCCCTCCCCTCCTTCCGCGAAGCCTCCTACGCCACCGGAACTCTGGAACTCTCACACACACACGCAGGCTAATCATGCATCATCTGTAAAAAAAAAGCCAAGCCTCCCCTGTTCCCTCCGTGTTCTCCGCTGCACGCTGGTTGCTGACCGAGCCCTTGCTTTTGACCCCCCAAAAAAGAGCCATGGCGGCAACAACGACTTACGCGTGCCGCATGTGCTGAGTACCCTCTACGTGCTTAATTTCGCCACCGTTTAATTAGTGTAGTTAACTCCATGCACACATACGATCATAGATAGATACTCCTACCCTACGCGATCCATCCATCCACGATCAATTCCACGCGCATGTGCCGATGGATCGAGCAAATCTCGGCCAATAAACCCCGAGCCGTGCCGAGGGCGGAGTCTAAACCGCATTCGTCTATTCATGATGGCTGCGCACGGGTACATGGCTATCAATTGGCAGATCGATACATGTATCCTCATGTATCTTCGTACCACGAGCATGACATTTTCCTCGCAAGAGAGAGACGCGCACATGCACGGGTCGAGATCGCTAAGCAGGAGAAATGGCCCGTCCTTCTTAACTAATCAAGCCAGAGCAGTGCTTGACGCACGCCGGCGACACGCACCGGCGAGCTACCTTGTCGAGTTACGAGAAAAGGGTAAGCAGCAGATCGGACGATGTGTGTGGCGTTTATTGTACTGCAGCTGAGATACTCGATCTGGTTGCCTCCGTTATAACTGGGGCGACAAGGACGCGGCCCCGGACGCGAGGGTTCGGGAAATGCTTACATGCGTAAGTTAATTAATCAATCGTCAGGGTCGCATTCTGTAAGGGGCTCGATTTAGATCTGGGGAGGAAGGGAGGAAGAAGGAGGCCGGCAGAGAAGATCAGCTTCTCGGAGTTAATGTTGATACAATAATCGATACCCTCTCACCCACTCTCCACGCCAAGTAATACCCACGGCACGCAGGCCACACATCCACGCAACGCGCTCTGACTACGCGGGCCCACTGACCTCCCCTTTCCAGCGCGCCTTGACCTCGTCAACCTCGTCTGGTCGTGGCTCGGTGGTTCCGCTGTCCAGTGGGGCCGTCGTGGCCGGTGGGGACGCCATGACAGTCGTGCCTTGACCTCGTCAACCTCGTCTTCACGCCAAGTAATGTTGATACAATAATCGATACCCTCTCACCCACTCTTCACGCCAAGTAATACCCACGGCACGCAGGCCACACACCCACACAACGCGCTCTGACTACGCGGGCCCACTGGCCTCCCCTTTCCAGCGCGCCTTGACCTCGTCAACCTCGTCTGGCCGTGGCTCAGTGGTTCCGCTGTCCAGTGGGGCCGTCGTGGCCGGTGGGGCCGTCGTGGCCGGTGGGGACGCCATGACAGTCGTGACATTCCCCCCTGCTTGTGTGCCGACTTGCCCCCAAGGCGGCGTAGAGGGGAAGCGTTGCTGCAACGCCACTGGATCTTCCCATGTCGACAGCGACGGGGAAGGTGGCTCCATTGCACCCGGATGCGAGGACGGATGTCACCGGCAATGCGCACCATCTTGCGGTCCAGCACCAGCTCCGGAACATGTTCTGCCTGCAAAATCGAGTTACCGGGAGGAAGGTCAGCACTCACCGGCACCGTAGCCCCAAACGCCTTCTTCAGTTGCGACACATGCACCACTAGGTGGATGCGGCTGGAGGCAGGCAGTTGCAGCTTGTACGCCACTGCCCCGACGCGAGCCAATACCCTGTATGGCCCATAGTAGCGGAAAGCCAGTTTTTGGTGCGGTCGTTGCGCCACCGAGGACTGGATAAACGGCTGAAGCTTGAGCCGCACTGCATCACCAATGGCGAACTCTTTGTCTGTATTTTGTCGATTGGCCTGAACCTTCATGCGGTCCTGCGCACGCTTGAGCTGCTGCCGCAAGTGTTCTAACATCACCTCTCTTTCCTGGAGCCATGCTGCAAGATCAGGGACTGCACACTCGCCTATCTGCGCGATGCCAAATTCTCGGGGAAGGTGGTCGTAGATGACCTCGAACGGAGTCTTACCCAGAGCCGAATGAAAGGACGTATTGTACCAGTATTCTGCGAGAGGCAGCCATTTGGACCAGTTGCCAGGGCAGGAGTGGACTGCGCACCTGAGATACCCTTCCAGGCACTGATTGACGCGTTCGGTCTGCCCGTCCGTCTGGGGGTGGTATGACGAACTGAGACGCGGGTTCGTCTGGCAGAGCTTGAACAGTTCCTGCCACACATGCCCTGTAAATATACGATCCCGGTCTGATATGATAGCCAGTGGCAAGTCGTGGAGGCGGAAGATTTCTTTCATGAAGACCTTGGCAATTTGCAAAGCTGTAAACGGGTGCGTCAGGGGCACAAAGTACGCATACTTGAAGAACTTATCAACCACTACCAGAATTGTGTCGTACCCCCCCTGATCGCGGCAATCCTTCAATGAAATCGAGTGAGATAACTGACCATGGCTTTTGAGGTATTGACAAT